AAATAACTCGTAAGATTCTCGGAAACGTAAACTGTATTAGACAAAAAAAATATTGTTAAAATGAGAGTAAAAAATGAAATATAAATTTGGGCGTGGATTAAGCTGTAAATAAAATTACAGTGAAAGGATGTTAAGTTTGAGAAATAATGAATTTAAGTTTGTAAATTTATATTCGATTGAGTTCTAAAATTTATTTTCTTTAAATGTCGAGTTTGAAAATTAATGAACTGCGGGTCGTCAACAGACAAAGTTGGTCGTTTGAAAATTCCATTCCCCACTTCTCACTCTTTCAGTGTATACAAACCACATATGATCCCTGTCAGACCAGACCAGTTTCCCCGGGCCCACCCCGTTTCTTTTGTCTTCCGATCATCGTGCTTGTCTATACATTTCTAACGTCACCTGGTTCTTTTTCTTTAGCAATTCCCCGTTGCTTTGCAGCCCATCGCTTTTCTTTTTCTCTCTCTCTTCTTTTCCTTCATTCTACTGCTTTGCTTTACTCTCCCTCTCTCTTTTGCTTTGCAGACGAGGGGGGCTTAGATTACTCAACCTCTTCTCACTCAAATTGCTGCAAAGTTTGGACTTTTAACTTGTTCAGCTCTGTGTTGTCTCTTTGGTTTTAAGGTTTTCATTTTTGTTTTCTGATTTCTTGTTTTCCTTGGGGTTTGTGATTGAATATGGGGTGGTGGTGTATTAGAGTGAATATGGGGATTGTATGTTTGTTGACGATGGTGTGGTGTGGGAAGGGGATTGGTGTGAACTGGGGAACACAGGCATCCCACCCGCTGCCACCGGAGACGGTGGTGAGGATGCTGAGAGAGAATGGAATTCAAAAAGTGAAGCTTTTCGACGCGGATTATGCTATACTCAAGGCTCTGGGTAAGACGGGGATCGAGGTCATGGTGGGAATCCCCAATGACATGCTTGCTTCCGTCGGTGGCAGCATGAAAGCTGCTGAGAAATGGGTTGCCAAAAATGTCTCGCAACATATCTCCTCCAACAATGTCAACGTCAGGTCACCTTTCTTTTTTTCTTTCTTTTTCTCTTCATTTCATGAGACCCTTCTTGCCTAATTGCTTTCCGGATTCTGTTAAGTTAGAGTTCGATTCGAATTTGTTTTGATTCGAATTTATTAAGAAAGTAGGAAATATAGTTTGATTTAAAGTGGAAAGTTTGTTCTATTTTATTTTATGTTGATTGAGAGTAATAAAAATAGTTTGAATAGATTTCTTGCTATGCAAGTTTCCTTTCAATCAATGAACCATCCTCATAAATATATACTAGAGATTAGCGGCTTTGTTTTCAGTCGGTTATGTTCATCGTTGTTACGATCATAATATATGATATTGCAGTTATTGTGGGTATGTAGTTGTATTTTTTTATTAAATTCGTCAAACTTATTGTAAAACATAATACTTCTAATTGTAGCAACAAACTGTTAGATTTTTTTAAAATTCTTGTCACATAACAGTAACAGGAATAACGGTTCGTTATTGTTGTAATTGACCGTTACTTGTTAAATTGAGACTGTGATCCACCGTTATTGGAGTGAATTCGCTTCACACTACTATATAACAACCGCTATTATGTTATCAGACCATTTTAGAGTTAGATGATAAGTTATTTCTCTAAATCCTCTTGTATTTTTCTATTACTAATATTAGTGAAAATTTTCATCTTATGTCCATGATTTTTCCTGAAAAGATTTTTATATAAAATTTTAGTGTATATTTTATTGTACAGTCATTATGTTTTAACATATTACTTGAGTCTGGTGCTGAATTAAACTTTGATGGTCTTTCTGAATTTAACTATCATTTCTCATACAAATATGTCCTTTTGATTCCGATAAACTGATTACACTTACTCTAACAATATAGGTCTGTATGTATATAGAGCTGGCGTATATATATAAGATTGATGGTCTAAGATATTAATTTTGGTGTAGTCGAGGTTGCCTGGTTCCATTCTCTAATTTTCATTACATTCTTTACAGATATGTTGCTGTTGGTAATGAACCATTCCTAGAGACTTATAATGGAAGCTACATTCAGATAACCCTCCCTGCTCTTAACAATATCCAGTCTGCCCTGATCAAAGCTGGGATCGGCAGCCAAGTAAAGGTTACCGTTCCGCTCAATGCCGATGTTTATGCGAGTTCGAATAACTATCCATCTGGGGGTGACTTCCGTAAAGATATCTTTGACCCCGTGATTAAAATTGTCAAGTTCTTGAATGACATTAATTCTCCCTTCACAGTCAATATCTATCCATTTATAAGCCTCTATACCGATTCCAATTTTCCGGTTGAGTATGCATTCTTCGATGGCAATGCATTGCCACTAAACGATGGTGGGACGTTGTATTACAACATGTTCGATGCTAATCTCGATACCCTTACACACGCGTTAGGGAAGAATGGATTCGGAAATTTACAGATTATAGTTGGGGAGATCGGGTGGCCTACTGACGGGGACCGAAATGCTAACATAGAATACGCTCGACGTTTCAATCAAGGTTTAATGACTCATATTTCTGGAGGGAAAGGAACCCCGATGAGACCGGGACCTATAGATGCATATCTGTTTAGCTTGATCGACGAGGATGAAAAAAGCATTGATCCGGAAAATTTCGAACGCCACTGGGGTTTTTTTTATTTCGATGGACAGGTTAAATACCCTCTCAACCTTGGCACTACAAATAGTGGAGCTTTGGTCCCTGCAAAAGGTGTACATTACTTGGAAAAGAAGTGGTGTGTGATGAAGCCTACAGTCAGACTCGATGACCCACAAGTGCAACCGAGTGTGAGCTATGCATGTGGGCTGGCTGACTGCACCAGCCTCGGTTACGGTACATCTTGTGGGAATCTAGACGCTAGGGGAACATTTCTTATGCCTTTAACAGCTATTTTCAGAAGAATAACCAGCTCGAAGTGGCCTGCAAATTTCCGAATGTATCGATGATCACGAATACAGATCCGACCCCTGCGGTGGGAAGTTGCAAATTTCCTGTAATGATCCGGCCGTATTATGAATCCGGCAGTCGTCGGTTTTGGTGTGGGCAGAAGCCATTGGGTTTGGTTTCTGTTCTTGTTCTTATTTTGGTAACCTTTACGTGGTTTTGAAGGATAAATGTTATATAGAAGGTGCAGTTCAAATCATGGATTTAAATTATAATTACGGTCGCGTTTTTAGTTGTGTTGTGTTTATCGTAAGCGGACACAACAAGTATAATTGTGGTAATTACAGATATCACGATCATACAATAACGATTTCGTATAATACCATTATGATTATATAAAAACTGTTATTATGATAACGAACCCCTATTTAAATCCATGGTTGAAGTTTGAATTTGACTGTCCATAAGGCAAACTGTGAATTTGTCTTCTTTAGTTTATGTGTATATGAATTTGTCATCTTTTCTGATTTCTTTCATGTACCCAAGAATTTTATTTTTATTTTTATCTTCAAGTTTATATTGTGTCTTTCATTTAGGTCAAATTTAGTTACTGTTCCTTGAGTTAGCTAAAAAAGAACTGTGGATTTAACCATTTTCAAACCATTGAAGGTCAATTTTGCTATTATTTTCTCTTGTTATATAAAATACAGATTTAGTTTAGTCAAAAATAAAATACAGATTTAGTGTTTATCGGTTTATTGGAGGCACGTGTATATACGTATTTAATTAATTTTTTATTAATTATATATTTATTTCTTTTAATTAATGTAATTAATTATTATTTAATGATATCTTAAATAATTTCAGTAGGTCAAATCATGACGATGTGAATAGAATATATTGGATTAGAAGAGTTACTCTCATAACGAGTCTCTACAATATCCAATCTAAATGAGTCGATCAATATATTATATACTAGTCATCTAGAATAAAAAAGGAGCATACAAGAAAATTGTTAAAAATTCAACCTAATAACTCGAACAATTGATAGATACAAACATCTATCATTATCGATGATGATAAAAACATCATCATCATTAACATAAAAATACAAATAACAATCATAACACATTGATAGACTGATATTATCACAGCTTTATCGTAAACTATTGTTGAATTAATATTTTTGTAAAATTGATATTGGTCTTAATTGAATTTATAAAAAATAATTCAAAGACCAAATTAACTTGAAAAATATGTTTTAAATGTTTTCTAATTTAGTCGAACCTTTTCAAAAATATACTCGATCGTTTTCGCACTTTAAAGATGTGTTTCCAAGCTTTTTTGGCTCAAAGGATCTATCCCTTTGACCAAATTATCGACCCCCTTGTAAAAAGATCATTCCTTTGGATTCCAGAAAGTTTGAGATCTATCTCTTCACAAAAGTATCGATCCCTCAAGGAAAAGGATCGATCTCTTTATCAAAATGATCGATCCATTCTCCTAAATGATCAATCCCTTTCTTGCAACGGTTGAATTATTTGAAAAATGATCGATCCCTTTCACAAAAGGATTGATTCTTTATGCATTAAATACTGTTTTTTGTTGTAGGTAACGTCTATAATGATTCCCAACGACTCCAAACAGTTAGAATTGACAAAGAAAGTATAAATTAAAGGTCAAAGCATCATACGGTCAACAAAAATCATATTGAACAAATATACCAACATCAAAGAATTCCTTTGTGCTTAATTTCTCAATCTTTTCATTGTAACATACTTGTGAGCTTTATTGTTTAATTTGCTCAAGTGTAATATAGGTTATTGTCATGACATGACTTAATTTCTTTGAAACGATATTGGTTTAGCATAATTATTTACCTTGGTGGTGGCAAAAAAATATGCACTAAGCTTGTGGTCTTGGTGGTAAGTTTTTACATGATTTACTCATGGTGATGATGGCCCATTTTTTATTTAGAGTATAGGTTTAGAATTTATATTTTAGGCTTTAGGGGTTGGAGTTTTATATTTTAGTATAGGTTAAAATAAGCAGCTGTGAAAATTTTACACAGCCTGTGTATCAAATAATAACCCTTTTATTTTTGGCATTCGAAGCAAGTAAAGGGAAAGGGTGTTGGTTTAATAAGGGGACATAAGTCTCAATATCATGCCTTCATAATTATCATGATCCGTTTTGTTAAATTTTGTACAATGCTTCTAGAAACAACAATTAAAATTTGAGAGAGTTCTTAATCCTTTTAAGAATAAATGCAACTGCTTATTGGCGAAGCCTGTCCATCCGATAAATACTTATTTCACACCACTTATCAATTTAAGTGTTTCTAGTTTCTATAATGGTTTAGGGGTTTTGATACCATTAAAGTATGTCCGTCCATTAAATATTTAAAATATTTTTTTTATAAAAAAGAATTACTTATTTTCTATTTGTTGTCAACTTATTGTGCTTTTCTGTTATGCCATTGTCAATTTGCATAAACTACTACAACTGCTATTTGGCTTCTCACTCTTCAAAATTGGATAGCTGTCATGACTTACGATGTTTTTGTTTAATTGAACAGATTACAACCTTCAACATTTCTATTGTTGTTCATGGGACAGTTTCCGAGAGTAACACTTTGTTGCCTGTAAGTTTTCAGACCTCCCTTGGATTTTTTTTCATTGTCATGACCCCTTGTGTCTATGGATTTAGAAGAATTGCTGGTTCTGCTTCTTACAGGGTGATTCTGATCCATACGCAGTCCCGAAGAGCATGGGGATTTTTCGTTTTCTTTAAAGCCCTAAAAGTTTGACCACAAGTTCTGTAGCCCGAAGGATAGTTACCAATCATGAGGCTTACATGGTACCACTTGCAACGACTGCATAAACTTTTTTGAAGTTCACATTTATTGTTAAATTAACTCTCTTACATAACCAGAAATGCAAGTTGATTTTATTGTGTTTTATCATCTGATACATAACCAGAAGTGGGAATTGATTGGCAGTTCATATTCTTTCAGAACAACATTATTTGCTAGCCACTTGTGTTAAGGGTTCCAGATTATATCTGGTTATGGATATTTTTGAAACTTTTTGCACGAGGCATGCATCGAAAGTAGTGTTCTTATAACATTAATCACATCCCATCGATCATTTTCCATTAGAAGAGATCAGTAATTTTCTTGTTGCTTCGTATCTGATTTTGGTATAAAAAATTCTTACTAGTAACCTAAACAATGATTGTTTTCTACATTTATAGGTTTATTGTTTTAACTCCTGAATGTTATCGAATTTTTTAGTGCAATTTCAGGTGTTTAACATTTACGATGCATGTATATCTATCCTCAAATTTTTCTACTCGATTTTGATGCAGAAACGCAATGCCAAAAAAGCAGAGAGTGAAAAGAAATACTATGAAGAGAAGACTTATGTTGCAGGAGAGTAGGTAATGTCGGTTTTCAATGTTAGCAAGTTCGGTACAGCACTTCATGCTGCCTTAACAACATATTCATGTAGATGATGCTTGTTGGAAGAACATGGCATCGATACCAGAGACTTCCAAGCCTTGGGTTTATTTATTTATTTATTGTTAATTTTTTTTGGGTTCAGTTTTATGAGATTTAAAAGAAACTTTTGATAATGTTTTACTACGATGCTTGTAAAGAATGTATCTCTGATACTTCTGCCTCCCATGGCTTTAATCTCATAACTGTGTTCCTCAAAAGCCATCCACCATACAAACTTATTGCATACACAAGGATATAAATGAATCAGGTTTAAACGAACAAGATTATAATTGTGTTCGTTTGTTTATTTTTTAATGGGTTTGTATTTAGTTTGTTCACATAAAATTTTAATATCGTATTCGTTTGTTTACTTTTGAAACTATTTATGCTTGGTTCATTTAACATTTGCAAATATCTTTGTATAATGTTCCCATAATGTTCAAGAACATATTCATTTAACATTTGTTTGATGTTTAGCAACTAACACCCTATTCTTAATCTTTTTATTTGCAAGTCAAAAAAAATGGGGAAATTATGCCACTAGTCCTTAAGTTCCCTAGGCTTCATAATTTGAACTCTAAAATTCACCTTGTATTCAATTTAGTCCTTATCTTCACCATATTTAAAATGTAAAAAAATAAAAGAAAAATAAGAATCAAGTAGACAAGTCAAAAAACGAGCCTATTCACGAACATAAACGAACAAAACACACCTATGTTTGTGTTTGTTTATTAAATAAAATAAATAATTTTTGTTCATATTTGTTTATATAGCTTAATAAATGAACATAAACGAATATTAAATAAATGATTCACAATAGTTTATCGAACGTTCTGTTCATCTACACCCCTATCATTACTAGGCCATGGAATCTCATAATCCCATTTGTTATCAATCTCATCGTACGCATACAATCCGTATGTCCCAACAGCCCAATTGCACCATTTATAGCACTCACGCGTCCTAACATCAAGGCTAGTATCATACAACAGGAAATGCCCTTTCCTTGTCATCCCTCCATCCTTGAACTCCATGTCGCATCCAATGTTCGCATGCTGGAAGGTAAACACGTCCATGAAAGCCGTTTTGAATTCTTCATCGTACTCCAGGTTTCGTGTCCCCATATCATCACTGTTCCACCAGCAGTGGATCATCAACATCTCGCGGTTCTCGAGCTTGTTTATGACGTTTACATGTCGGCGGCCGAGGTAAACCCCCGATGATGGCTCGAATCTAGCTAGCAATGCAAGAAGGAAGATCACGCCCAAGTCCAAAGAACTCATCACCTGGTTTTTTTCTAATAAAAATGATCGAACAAAGGAAGATTAAAAGAAGGGGAAAAAACTAACATTTAGCCATGTTTTAAACCCGACATTGTACTAATTTCCTGAATCATATAACAGGAACTTTTTCAAACTCATTCATGGGTACATGGGTTTCAACATCACGTTCGTCCCATGTATTGCATGTACCATGCAGGGAACACGACAGCTTTCGTGAGAAAATGGAGAAAAGAAACGTAGATGTTCGTATATCATGTTTTCGATGAAAATAATGTTGTTTCAACGAAAGGTCACGAGAGGAACTAGACGTAACCGCAGTCTATGTTTAGATATTTAAAAATGGGAAAATCGATGGGAAATTATATAAATATATATATATGTATTGGAATAAAGGAAAACATATAATTTGAATATAAAAACAACCTCTTCGTGTATACCATCAAGCTTTTAAGTAGAGGCGCCACTTTCGGAATTACTTCATCGTAGGTTTCACTTAATTTGCTCTAATTCCCAATATACCGATCGAAAATCTTTAATTTTAACACCTTTTATAGTGAGAGAATCGAATATTATTTATTCGGTTAGAGATTATAATCCGAATATCATTTTGATCCGCTTCGAAAATTTTACGTTTTCATCTAATTGAAGAAATGAATCGGGAGAAAAATGAAAATAAATAATGGGCTATAGTTTCGGCTGAAGAGATGAGTCATACGTTACGATATAATATTATTTTAGGGTTTTGAGTATCTTGCAACTATAAATGTGAACTTAGAATTTCTAGGTTCATACTAGTGTCATTTGTGTGATATTGTGTCGTTTTTATTTTTTATTATGAACTTGTTATGATTTCTCTTGTACTTTATTATTGACATAGTGAATCTTTTGTAATTTTTTAAAAGAGTTTTTCATATAAAATGTATATATTTATTTATTCTTCTCATCATTTCACGATCAATTAATCGCTATTATTCATAACACATTCTTTAATCATTAATAATTTAATATATTCTTTCTTGTTTTCCCTCTCCAACCCAAAATATAACTTGATGATCAATATCTACATCTTGTAGATTTATAAATAAATAGTGATGGAAAATTGCATGAGATGGTTTAATTTTAACTATGTCAATAGATAAACTTAATAAATTACTAACACGATCAATAAAATTAATGTTTTATTGAAGGTGGCCTCAAATAAATCTGAGCATATAATCATAATTAGAGAGATCACTACAAATTGATAGTAATTTATGCAGTGTAATTATGATGAGATGTTTTGAAGGTAACATCAAAATATAATCTAGTTGGACTCAACTTCCAAACCATTAAATGTAAATATAAAACGGTATTTCCGATTCACATGATAAAGGTATCGATTTAACAAAAAGCTGCTTACAATTACATTGCTAAAACTACTGGTTTGTTAAAATATTGATTATACAAAATGCTAAGGATATATATATACTCAGGCACCTACCAACAAATTAAGTCTTTATCTGTAAAGAATTCGTCAAAACTATCTTCTCATCTGATTGAAAAGCTCAGGCGGTTTTCCAGTTTGTCCACTACCTCCAAAGACTGAGAAACCAGCAACATTTGTCGGTTGGCTGCCAAAAGCGCTGAACCCACCACTCCCTGGACAGATGCTTACGTGGCATAAGTCACTGTCGAAAACAATATGCGGAGCAAAACAAGGAAAAAAATAAACACCAAATTTCACCTGTGGCAGCAGCAAATCCTCCGGTGCCGCCAGAACCACAAGCTGAAGCCAGACCACCGAATCCACCACCACCGAATCCACCACCACTTGAAGCCAGACCACTGAATCCCCCACCACCAGAAGCCAAACCACCAAAGCCACCAGTAGTAGAGGCCATACCAGCAAACCCACCTCCTGTTGCAGCGTTAGAAAATCCAGCAGCAGATTGAGGACTTGCAAAACCACCACCAAAACTGCTCCCGGAAGTAAAACTACTTCCTGATAGTGCAGTACCAAGCTGTCGTGACTTCCCAAAAGCACCAAGAACTGACCCAAAGCCTGTTGTCCAGCTCCAAGCTGTGCGGGTTTGCCAAAAGCACTTTGGGCAGGAGATTGAACAGGTGTGCTAGAAGCAAATCCACCAGAGAATGCACCAAAACCTGCAGGTTGAGCCGATTGGGAAGGCTGTGGAGGTTGGAAAGTAAAAGATGCAGGTTTAAACAACTCTCCATTATGAACAGTTGGGGTGAATGAAAAGGTAGCTGGACTTGTCGCCACAACTCCAAATGGAGCGTCAAATGAGTTAGGCTTTTGGAGCAGTTGGACTAGGAGTTGAGCCAATTCCAAAGCTACTTAAGCTTCTCAAGCCAAGTTCAGCCATTTGGTTTGTCTCAGGAGCCTCCTCCTCCATCTCATCCTCTTGTGTGACATCCAATGTTCCGCTTTTTCCATCAACGGTACTAATGCTAGTTGAGAATGGTGCTGAAAGATTATCTCCAGTAGAAGGCTGCAGTGGCTGAGGATTTGATGCCAAATTAGTTACAGGACCTGCAACATCAATGATGCTGGTTTGGCTTCCAGATGACACTCCAGTAGGAGTTACGCTTTTCATTGGAGATGATACTGCGAATTGAGGCTTCAAGCCCAATTCTGCTGCTGGAAGTTCAAGTTGCAGAGGTGGTTTTTGTATCATCGGATCTGCATCTTTTGTCATGCCAAGTATTTCCTTACACGGTTGAGCCTCAATTTTCAAAACATCAGACGAATTCACAGGAGATGAATCAGAAGGCAAGGGTACAGGCACTTGGAGAGGGTGAATGGACGAGGAAACGGAAGAAGAAACAAAAGCAGAGAAAGGAACTGACGATAAGGAAGATGAATGTTTTCTATTAGCATCTACTGCAACTATAGAACTTGTAGAATCTCTAAATTTTGCCGCAGGTGATGAAGTATATGCTGCTGACAATGATGTTGAAAAGGAAAATTTTGGCGCCAATGTAGAACTAGTTGCTATAGATGATGAGACATTAAATGATGTGGTGACTGACGTTTGTGATGAAGTCGGCATAGTTGAAAATGATGATGATGATGGAGTTGAGGAACTGAATAATGATGATGGTGAATCTGAAACTGGTTTAGAGAATGCAGAAGACTGTGGTACCTTTTCAATTGGCTGGCTTTTGCTTGCTACAATATTGAATTGTGAAACTTCCGGGGCAGGAGATGTAGGAACAGCAGCTGGAGGTATGAACTGAGAGTTGTTAATGTTAGAACTAAATAGTGTACTCTTTGTGGTAGATGGCACATGTTTCACATCCCCTAAAGCTGAATTTACAAGCACGGTCCCTTTACGGTCTGAAGTCCAGACGTCAGCAGATTTCTTTGGTGATGAAGCCACCTTGGAGATTGATGACTCTTGATATAGATTAGGTCTAAACTGTAAACTGGATTGACTTTCATTCTCATTGAAAGATGAAGTATTAGACCTCTCACCCTGAGAAGCTCCAAAGTTTTGTTTAGCGACAGGGATACTGCGTGTTTCCCCAGAATGCACCATCATAGACTGTGATCCTGATGTTGATAACAAAGCAGTGAAGTTACTTGTTTGAACTACAGAAGATTTCCTCCCAGCAGAGTGTGGTGGTAGTAGAGAATTATTATCCCATCGGAAAACAGTT